CATATGCTTCTTTATTTTTTACGGTTTTATTTATTTGTATACCACCTTTATTATTTTTATAAATAACCCAAGGCAACGAACACATTGAATACTCTTTCCTTCTTCTCTTTTACCTACAGCGACAATGCTGTGAAGTGATTTGGGCTCAGAGCGATTGGCTCAAGGTCACCCAAATGGTTTTTATGCCTAAGGCAAGACTAGAACTCACCAACGCCTAGCAATTAGCCCAAAGTCACCCAGCCAGCTTTCATGTATAAGGTGGAACTAGAACTCACCCTCCCCTAGCAATTGGCCCAAAATCACCCAACCAGCTTTCATGTCTAAGGTGGAACTAGAACTCGCCCTCTCCTAGCAATTGGCCCAAAGTCACCCAACCAGCTTTCCTGGCTAAGATGGGACTAGAACTCACCATCTCCTGGTGACTGGTCCAAAGTCATTCAGCCAGTTTCCATGCCTAAAAATCCCCATTCAGTACCTTGGTCTATATACCAAGTGAAGGAGATCTGCAAATGTGGGACTGATTAGGGTAGATTTCAAGGGTGACACTGAAATATAATTTTATCATATTTTATCCATATCTTAAATTATTGTATTCTATTCCAATTTCATTTTAGACTGTGGTTTATTCCAATTCCATTTTCAATTATATTTTATTCCAATTCCATTTTGTATTGTATTTAATCAAATTCCATTTTATATTGCTTTTATCAGATTTGAGTAATCATTTGTTTCTGGAGCTTTGCACTTTGATATGGCCCAAGGGCTAATCAATAAAGACTCAATGTCAATGCCTAAAGCAGGATTAGAACTTAAAGTCTCCCCCGGTGACCACTTGGATTTCATGCTTCAAATGGGGACTAGAATTCATCATCTCCTGGTGATCGACACCCAAATCACCCAGCTGGCAGACTCTTGCCAGACTAAAGCACTTATCTGCATGACTATAGATATGCATTGGGAACTGCTAGAGAGGAGCCCTTTTAACTCCCTTCCTCTCCATCAAGATTTCCAAGCTCCGCTGCCCCTTTGCCCTCCGGAAAGCAGCCCCTCCCTTTTGGGAATCCAGATTACATTCCACTACAGTTCCTTCTCTTTCTTTTAGAGCAGGGATGGCCCTCTGGTGCCAAAAGCACTCAGGCGGGCGCTATTGCGGGTGTGTGCATGCCCACACCGTTAATTTATTGCCCCTCATGCCATGCCCCCTGTGCATGCATGCATGATCCCCCCTGCTGCCCTGCACATCTGTGCATGGCTTTCCTGGAGCCTGAGGAGGGCAAAAACAGCCTCCCCCAGAGGCTGAAAAATGCCCTCTCAGAGCCTCTGCTGAGCCCTTTACTTACTTGGCATTGCGTGGTGACTCCTGGGAAGAGAAGGGCAGCATGGGCGGGCCAGCCAAAAATCAGCTGGAGCCAAGCCAGGGCATCGGTTTGCATGCCCGCTGATATGGCTCCACGTGCCACCAGTGACGTGTGCCATAGGTT